CGCCAGAGAGTAAGGGTAGCATTAGCATTGTAAGTAAACATTAGCTTTTCTTTTTTTTCAGTAAGAGGCTTTTATTTAATAGAATTTTTGGACAATATATCGCAATGTATCGCCTTGCTTACAGTATCACAATATATCAGGATATATCGTATCGTGACCCCTCTGTCATCATATGTATCGTATCGCCAAATTMTTGCCAATACACAGCCCTATCAGTTAATAGTTATTTTCTTTTAAAAATGTTAGTTGATCAGAAACTGGTCTGTTTTAAATAAATATTAAAAATGTGTTCATTTCTATAAGACTGTCAAATAAATTTATAAAATATACAGAATTTCAAATGTTACAGATTAAAATGAGCTAAATTAGTTCTGTTTTATATTTAACTAGAGAACTGTTTCTGCTGCTGAAAACTTCAGCTGAACGTGTTAGGAGCAGAAATGTTCACGCAGGTTTAGTTTGAAAAGCTGAAAGGAAGAAAAATCCTTAACTTTGCAGAAAAACAGTAGGAATGAGCATAAATATGTTAAACAAGCAGAAAACAGCTAAAAGCTAAATGCTAAAGAATGGAATACAGCAGAAAGAAGCTGTAAGAAACAAACAGCTCAAATTAGCTGAAATAATTACAGTAAAGTTGAAACTTGCAGTCAAATAGCAGAAAGAGTTTTAGATAAAATAGCTAAAAAAGCTAAAATTAGCATAAAAAAGCTATAGGTAGCAGGAACAAGGTGAAAGAAGCAGAGATGGTGAAAATGTTGTAAAAATATAAAATTAGCAGAAAAAACTACATAAAACCACTAAAAAAGTTGTTTGTATAAAAATAGCTAAAACAGCTGAAGTTTTCAGTAAAACAGCTAAAAGGTAATTGGAGATGTTTTGATTAGCATAAGGAGCAGAAGTTTGCTAAATTTAGCAGAAATAAGTTTTAATAAGTCCAAAGACTAAAAAGCTAACTTCAGCTAAAAACAGCAACAAAGTTTTCTAACAACATGTAAACATGACATCATACCTGTCAGCTGTGAGCATTAAAACATGGTGGGCTGCTGCAGCTGCTGCTGCTGCGGCCCACCACGGCCCACCACAGGGCTCAGACTCTCCTGGGTAACCCTGGACTGGGACTGGGGTTGACTCTGGTTGTTCTCTGCAGCTGCCCAACCAGACGAGGATGGACAGCAGCCCTGAGGTGGTCGGCCAATCGTCTTCTCTGCTGCCGATGACGGGTTTCCCCATGCAGGTCAGAGCCTTCACCTGGACCTGATCTGGGTCTTGGGTCTGTGGGGGGTTAACGGTCCTCTCTCTGCTTGCAGGAGTACAACCAGAACAGCATCTTCAGTCAGGCTTACGGTAAAAACCTGCCCCCCAGCTCCAAACCCGACACCCCCATGATGCAGCAGGAGCCGTCCCTCTACTCCCTGTTCGAGGGGACCCCGTGGTCCCCCTCCCTCCCTGCCAGCTCAGGTACGTCTCACCTGTGCAGGTGCTGTTTAACGCTGAAGCAGGTTGCTGATGAAAGCTCTTGTGATTGGCAGACCACTCCACCCCGGCCAGCCAGTCCCCCCACTCCTCCAACCCCAGCAGCCTGCCCTCGTCCCCGCCCACACACAACCACGGGACCGTGCCCTTCTCCAACTTTGGGCCCATTGGGACCCCGGACAACCGGGACCGCAGGCTGGTGGACCGCTGGAAGGCAGAGAAATCCCCCGGTGAGTCTGAAGCCTTCAGGTCCTGGGGGGCCAGATGTTTGTCTGTTTGTGGTCAGCAGCTGGTTCTGATGAGAGACGCTTCTGTTCCAGGAACATTCGGTTTGGACTTCCTGCAGGCCGCCTCCTCCTCACCGTCTGACACCAGCTGGCACCAGGCTGGCTCCACGGGCAGCTCCTGGACCAATCAGGAGTCTCCGATGGAGGAGTCGTCCTACACCGTGCAGCTGGACAGCCTGAAGGTCAGATTTGATTTGATGCAGCAGGTCAACTTCCTGTCTGTCATCAGTCAACTTCCTTTCTGTCACTGGTCAACTTCCTGTCTGTCACTGGTCAACTTCCTGTCTGTCACCAGTCTGGTCACAAACAAGAAGTTGACCGGTCACAAACAAGAAGTTGACTGGTGACAGACAGGAAGTTGACCGATGACAGACGGGAAGCTGACCGGTCACATACGGGAAGTTGACCAGTGACAGACAGGAAGTAGACCGGTGACAGACAGGAAGTAGACCGATGACAGACAGGATGTTGACCGGTGACGGACAGGATGTTGACCGGTGACGGACAGGAAGTTGACCGGTGACGGACAGGAAGTTGACCGGTGATGGACAGGAAGTTGACCGGTGACAGACAGGATGTTGACCGGTGACAGACAGGATGTTGACCGGTGACAGA